CAGTTAGGTCTAACTGGTTCATTGTATTGTTTAAAGTTTGTGTTTCCTTGTTAATTTTCTGTTTAGTTGATCTATCCATAGGTGTGAGTGGGGTGTTAAAGTCTCCCATTTTTACTGTATTATTCTTAATTTCCCCTTTCATACGTGTTAGAATTTGCCTTACATATTGCGGTGCTCCTATGTTGGGTGCATATATATTTATAATTGTTATATCTTCTTCTTGGATTGATCCCTTGATCATTATGTAGTGTCCTTCTTTGTCTCTTTTCACAGCCTTTATTTTAAAGTCTATTTTATCTGATATGAGTATTTCTACTCCTCCTTTCTTTTGGTCTCCGTTTGCTTCAAATATCTTTTTCGAGCCCTTCACTTTCAGTCTGTATGTGTCCCTTGTTTTGAGGTGGGTCTCTTGTAGATAGCATGTATAGCGGTCTTGTTTTTGTATTCATTCAGCCCATCTTTGTCTTTTGGTTGGGGCATTCAACCTATTTACATTTAAGGTAATTATTGATAAGTATGACCCCGTTGCCATTTATTTTGTTGTTTTGGGTTCGAGTTTATACACCGTTTTTGTATTTCCTGTCTAGAGAAGATCTTTTAGCATTTGTTGAAGAGCTGATTTGGTGGTGCTGAATTCTCTCAGCTTTTGCTTGTCTGTAAAGCTTTTGATTTCTCCTTCATATTTGGATGAGATCCTTGCTGGGTACAGTAATCTGGGTTGTAGGTTTTTCTCTTTCATCACTTTAAGTATGTCCTGCCATTCTGTTCTGGCCTGAAGAGTTTCTGTTGAAAGATCAGTTGTTATCTTTATGGGAATCCCGTTGTGTGTTATTTGTTGTTTCTCCCTTGCTGCTTTTAATATTTGTTCTTTGTTAATTTGATTAATACGTGTCTTGGGGTGTTTTGCCTTGGGTTTATCCTGTTTGGGACTCTGTGGGTTTCTTGGACTTGGGTGACTATTTCCTTCCCCATTTTAGGGAAGTTTTCAGCTATTATCTCCTTAAGTATTTTCTCATGGCCTTTCTGTTTGTCTTCTTCTCCTGGGACTCCTATGGTTCGAATGTTGGGGTGTTTAACATTGTCCCAGAGGTCCCTGAAGTTATCCTCATTTCTTTTAATTCCTTTTTCTTTTTTACTCTCTGCTTCATTTATTTCTACCATTCTATCATCTACCTCACTTACTCTATCTTCTACCTCGCTTATCCTATCTTCTGTCCCCGTTATTCTACTGTTGGTTCCCTCCAGAGTGTTTTTTATCTCATTTATTGCATTATTCATTATATATTGACTTTTTAAAATTTCTTCTAGGTCCTTGTTAAACATTTCTTGCATCTTCTCAGTCCTTGCTCCAGGCTATTTATCTGTAACTCCATTTTGTTTTCAAGATTTTGGATCATTTTTACTGTCATTATTCTGAATTTTTTTCAGGTAGACTCCCTATCTCCTCTTTTGTTTGGTTTGGTGGGCATTTATCATGTTCCTTTACCTGCCAAGTATTTCTCTGCCTTTTCATCTTGTTTAGATTGCTGTGTTTGGAGTGACCTTTCTGTGTTCTAGAGGTTTGTGGTTCCTCTTTATTGTGGAGGTTCCTCCCTATGGGTGGGGTTGGACGAGTGGCTTGTTAAGGTTTCCTGTTTAGGGAAGCTTGCGTCGGTGTTCTGGTGGGTTGAGCTGGATTTCTTCTCTCTGGAGTGCAATGAAGTGTCCAGTAGTGAGTTTTGAGATGTCTATGGGTTTGGTGTGACTTTGGGCAGCCTGTATATTGAAGCTCAGGGCTATGTTCCTGCATTGCTGGAGAATTTGTGTGGTATGTCTTGCTCTGCACTTGTTGGCTCTTGGGTGGTGCTTGGTTTCAGTGTAGGTATGGAGGCTTTTGGATGGTCTCTTACTGATTAATGTTCCCTGGAGTTAGGAGTTCTCTGGTGTTCTCAGGTTTTGGGCTTAAGCCTCCTGCCTCTGGATTTCAGTCTTATTCTTACAGTAGCCTCAAGACTTCTCCATCCATACAGCACCAATGATAAAACATGTAGGTTAATGGTGAAAAGATTCTCCACAGTGGGGGATACCCAGAGAGATTCACAGAGTTATGTGGAGAAGAGGGAGGAGGGAGATAGAGGTGACCAGGAGGAGAAGAGGGGGAATCAAAAGGGGAGAGAGCAGTCTAGCCAGTAAGCAATTCCCTATGTGCTCTCCACAGTCTGAAACCCTCAGAGGTTCACAGAGTTACATAGAGAAGAGGAGAGGGAAGAAGGAGATAGAGGTGACCAGGAGGAGAAAAGGGGGAATCAAAAGGAGAGAGACAGATCTAGGCAGTAATCAGTTCTCTAAGTGTACTCCATAGCCTAGAACACACACAGAGATTCACAGAGTTGGGTAGAGAAGAGAAGGGGGAGGGAGGAGATAGAGGTGACCTGGGGGAGAAAAAGGAGAGTCAAAAGGGGGAGAGAGTAATCACACCAGTAATCACACTCCTAAGTAAAAATGGGTACTGAAGATTGGAGTCTTAAAGGTACAAAATTGATAACAAATACCAAAAAGCAAAGATTAAAAAATCTAGAGTAGAGGTTAAACTCTCAATAATATAATATTTTAAAAAACCAAAATCACAAAAATTATAAAAAATATATATGAAGTTTGCTTTATAAATAGTGTCTTTTTTTGCAAGGTAGTAGTAGGTTATAAAATGAAAATTAAAGGAATAATAGAAGACTTAAAAATAAAATTAAAAAAAAATTTTTTTAATGATAATAGTAAAAATATATCTAGGAATATCTCTGGAGCTATTGCGGGCAGTGTGGGGTCAGTTCAGTTTCAGATAGTTCCTTGTTCCAGCTTATACTTCTCAAGATCTATAGGCACCTTCCAATGTAGTCGGTGCTAGCTACAGGGTTTTATTCTGTTGCACCTGTCACTTCCAAAGCGGTTCCCTCTGTTTATTTTGGCTTCCTCTGTTTGCTGGTCTCTTCAGTATCTAATTTCCGCCCTGACACAAGGGGGCGAAAGTGGTCACTTATTTAGGCTCACTTGTTCAGTCTTGCTGTGGGGAGGGAGGACCACTGCAAACAAACATCACTGGCGTGTGTGGGGAGCGCTCGCAGTGTCTGGGCCACACTGGGTTTGCCCCTGCTCACAGCGTGTGTGCTTTGCCAGTCTACACTGCTCAGGCTCCAGGTTGGTCTGCAAGAGAACTGTCTAAAGTAGGCCCTGGGTTGCATACACTTCTCAGGTCTAAGCTGCTCAGGTTCAGGATCTCGGGTACTCCACAAAGGCACAAACTTGGTTGGGCCTGCGTTTTGTGCCCTTCCCAGGTCTGAGCAGCTCAGGCGACCAGGTGCTTGGCGAGTGCACTCTTCTTAGGTGTGGTGCATCTTATCACCTCCCTGGTCCCAGCTGCTCGGTTTACTGGGTGGCAGCTGGCGCGCCATCTCAGGTGTGCCATGTGACTCCTCTGGGGATCTGATCTGTGACTGCGACCCTCCCAGCGGATGTCAGCCATCCAGTATCCCAGGAAGTCTTGGTTAGCAACTGGAAGCCTGCTTGCAGTTTGGTAGGGGATGCCAATCTCTGGGGCATCTCTGAGTTTGCCCCTTTCTGGCTCTGGCTGCCACCCACCTGCCTCCAGCAGGGGATGCGCCAGTCCGCAGCCGGCTAGCTCTCCTCTGGTATTTGCTCAGTCGTTTGTTCTGTGAGTGGGCTGGCAGTGCCTTAGGTTCAGGCTTTTTGAGGGATAGTTCTTTTTTTTTTTTTTTTTCCCCTCTCTCTCTCTAGCTATCCCACAGTTTGGGTTGCTATCTCATGTTAGCTCCCTCAGATTGCCCTAAGGGCATTCAAGCCTGGTCCTTACTCTAAGCAATGCAGCCGGCTCCTCCCTGTTCAGCCCCCGCTTGCTGGTGGCTCTGCTGGAAGTTGCCATTAGGCATGTAATCTGTGGGTTTTATTTATTTATTTTTCCTCCTGGTTATGTTGCCCTCTGAGATTCCAAAATTCCCCACAGAACCGCCGGTGAGAGGGTTTCCTGGTATTTGGAAACTTTTCCTCTTTAAAGACTCCCTTCCCAGGACGGGTCTCCATCCCTAACTCTTTTGTCTCTTTATCTTTTGTATTTTGTCCTACCTCCTTTCAAAGACAATGGGCTGCCTTTCTGGGTGCCTGATGTCCTCTGCCAGCCTTCAGAGGTTGTTTTGTGGAATTTGCTCAGTGTTCAGATGTTGTTTCAATGAATTTGTGGGGGAGAAAGTGGTCTCCCTGTCCTATTCCTCTGCCATCTTAGGACCACCTCTTATCTTTTTCTTATTAAAGTTATTCCCTAGTATTTAAGTTTTGGACATACCCTAAGATAGCATTGTAAAAAACTTCACAGTAAATTTTTAAAGTAATCCTCCAAAGAATTTCCTTTAGAAGTGTGGTTAAGTATAAAGAAAGCTGAGCGCTGAAGAATTGATGCTTTTAAACTGTGGTGTTGGAGAAGGCTCTTGAGAGTCCCTTGGACTGCAAGGAGACAACCAGTCAGTCCTAAAGAAAGTCAGTCCTGAATGTTCAATGGAAGGACTGATGTTGAAGCTGGACATCAGCTTTGGCCACTTGATGCAAAGAACTGGCTCACTGGAAAAGACCCTGGTACTAGGAAAGATTGAAGGCAGGAGGAGAAGGGGACGACAGAGCACTGACTTGATGGACGTGAGTTTGAGCAAGCTCCGGGAGTTGGTGATGGACAGGGAATCCTGGCGTGCTGCAGTCCATGAGCTCACAAAGAGTTGAACATGACTGAGCAACTGAACTGAAAATATTTTAGTTCTGTTTAGTTGATAGTTGCCAAATTACTGATTTCCTCAAAAATTAAAATAGAATATAAATGTCACTTAAGTATGTTTTTCTTTGACTTAAAAGATGATATAAGGATCTTTTCATCTTTCTATGAATAGCACACTAGTTTTTTGAATTCTGTATAAACAATTTACTGAATGATTTTTTGGTTTTTGTTTTTACTCTTTTGTCTTAAGGTTGCTACAACTATAAATACAAAACAAGAATACTGCCCAATATATGGATGTATTAAAGAAGATTCTTTTATGGAAAAATTGCAGCCTAAAAAGTATGTTCCATGTGCACTATTTTAGTATTTTAAATTCATTGTATTTCTGAAAGTTATTTTAGAGTTACTGATAAAAGGTCATTCTTATATCAGTATCTCTAACCCATTGTTTACAGAATGCTCTTTAAGTTTATAATTTGTCTGAGCTGTTAATGAAGTGGAGAATCCAACTCCTAAAGAAGCAGCATTAGTGTGTCCTCATTTAAAGTGAGGGGAAACAGAATTCACAATTACTATTTCTTCACCCTACTTAATTCTTTTAGTCTCTTTTGCATACCTTAGCTCTTCCATACTCTCTGCTGCTCTGTGGTTCTTCATGGCCTGTCCAATAAAATCCAAATCCTTTAGGCTAGCATTCCTGACTTTTCACATTACTGCTGCAGGTCCTCTGTCCAGATTTAAATGGGTGCTTAGAAACCAACAGAACAGTTATTTATTTAGATAATAAAACCACTTAGCTAAAGTCTACTTACTGGTTATTGATAGAGCCAGAGGTAGAACTCAGGCTCATTGAATGCCAGTACTGCTCCCACCTCCTCTATTTATATTCCATCAATCACTTCCTCCTTAACCTCTGAGTGGGATGATTAGAATAAATCTTTAGGAATGTTTGTGGCTACATGTGAGTCTTTGGCCATAACAATTGGGACATCTTCAGGAATCTAGCAGTTGACTTACCGGGTGAGGGAGGCTGACTTTTTTTTTAAAGAGTGCTAAGGATTGTGTACCCACACCAGAGGAGGGAGCCCCTGCTCAGCTCTAGCCAGTTTCTGCTACGTGTTAACACATCCCAGTGGTGCTAGCTTATCCTTCTCAAGACAGAGCTTTCTTATTTTTTAAACATGAAAGCCAAATCTGATTATACTTTTGTCTAGATTCATGTAGTGTCAAATATGGTTGCAAAGTGAAATTTTACTTTTATAAATAGATGAATCTGTTTTAGGTATCCCAATTTTTTCCAAATTGCCAGTTTTCAAATTAGTTTTCCATGTCAAGTGTACTTAGGTTAAGTTTCCTAATTTCAGTAGAGTTTGGTTTAAATAGTGATATGCTTTAAAATAGAAGTGTTTCTTGATACATGATGCATTGCCTTCCTGATTTTTCTTTAATATTTTGAAACAGGAATTGGAATGATGGACTCCTTATGGCTAATGCATTCACATGTTTTCAAGAACATGGATATCCACTTTTTAAGTAATCAAATGTTTAAAAATTACTTTGTGTATCATTTCTTCCTACGAGAGTAACATTCAGTCATCATAGTTTCTTCTATAAGCTGTTTTAGGCTATGATTAACTTATTCACCAAACACCGTGTGCTAGCCAATGTAAGGATATAAAGATAAAAATAGGCAAAAACTCTATCATCTATGGACAAGAAATGTAGCTTTCTTTTCATTTGAAATTACCTAGTGAATTTATTACCTCATTAGCCAGGCCTGTTAGTACATTTTTTAATAGCTGGCATTTGTGTGTATACTTACTTACTTATTTTAATTGAGCTTCAGACAGTTGAGTGATTATCAACATCTCTACCAAAAAATATCAGGGAAGAAGAAAGGATTAAGAAATTAAAGCACAATTTATATTATTAGCTATTGCTTTTAGGAGTTGGTTTAGAAGTTGAATTCTTAAAAAAAAAAAAAGAAGTTGAATTCTTGAGTAAAGTTAGCTTTTATATGAAAACATGTTTAGTCATGATTTTCCTCTCTTAGCTTTTCACAGATAATTGAGAACTCATTGTAAATGTCCCTATGTCATCATAATTATTTTTAATAGAGGGTAAAAATTGAAATAGAAGATTAAAACCAATATATTAATATTTATACTTAAAATAATGTACCTGACATTTTCCAGGATGAGGAATTGTTCTCAGGACTTTGAAAAGACTACTCATCAACAAACTGTTGGTTTAGAACATTCAGCCTCCACACCCAGGACTGTTTTGAACCCATCAGCTGTAATAGAGGTATGAAAAATGTAATTCATGAAGTGAGGCCAACCATTTTTACTTTTCTCTAGTAGCTTGACTTTCCTGTGCTCTCAAGGGTCCTATAATTCAAATTCTTTGGGGAAGTTTAAAGGTAAACCTGCTCTCCTTGCTTCAGTCTCTTATTTTGTTCTAAACTATGCCTCAACAATTGTTTTCTTCCCAAGTCAACACATTCTGCCTTTGATCAGCTGTTAGTGCTCTTGATATTTACCTGTATTCCCTTTGAACCTAGTTACTGAATTCAGATTTTATGAAACTTGTATAATACACAAGTTTCCAGATTCTAAGTATGATTTTCCAGTTATTTTAACGGCAACTAAAAGACCTAGTGCACTTACTGATGATGATGTAATTCTTGTTGGAATATTGAATTTTATCAGTTATGGCTTTTGATAACTTTACATAATATATTCTTTTAATTGAAGGTTAGAAACAGAACAAATTCCAAAGTGCTGTTGAGTGGAATATTAAGTCATTTTGTTAAGAAGATTATTTGTGGGCTGGGGGAGGAGAGAACACTGTCTTTCGTGTTTAAATCCTTTTTTTTTCCCCATAAGAATTTTCTTTTGTTTTTATCAAGGAATTTCTGTATGTTAATTTTAGTGTTTTGTTTTTTTTTTCTTTTCTGGCCATGCCACCTGGCTTGCGGGATCTTAGTTCCCCAACCAGGGACCAACCCGTACCCCCTGCATTGGTAGCATGGACTCCCAACCACTGGACCAGCAGGGAAGTCCCCAGTGTTTAAATCTTAACATAGCCTGATTATAATCTTTATTTTCTTAAAAACTGTTGCTGTTTACCTGTATTATTTATGATCATGATAATTTTTTTCAGGTAGTTTTAAATTGCAAAATGGTTATAGGACATAATCCCATTTATTCAGAAAGATACCTAAAAAAAAAAAAAAATCTGAAATACTATCAGCAAAACTTAAAATGTTCCTTGTTGCATGTTTTCAGATTGCTGTAATGGATCTAGGTTGCTTTTGTAAACAAAATGGTAGCTTGATGTTTTTGCAACTGTTACAGTCTATCTAAGCATCTGTTTTTATGTTTTGTATTTGTATGTGGTTCCTCTCCCCCTTCTTAGGAAAGTAAAACTGTGGAAGAGATTGATGAAGCATTGAAGATAGCAGGCCAAAATTTTGAACAATTAAGTATTGCTCTAAAAGTAAGCTTTCTGGAAAATTACATTCTATCCTAAATTAAGACATGTTCCCTTTTAATGTATATCATTGAAGGCAGAGTTTAGCATTATAGGTAGAGCTTACATAATCCAGTGAGAGAGAAACATACAAAAGAATGGAAAACTCATGGCTTCCTAGGATTAGTTTCATACCATTTGTGTTGGCAGCCTGCTGAAATTGAAGCTCTGTTAAGGAGCTATAATTTCTGTTTGCTGTGAGCTGAATTTTTTGTCTTGGAAGCATTGCAGATCACTTTTCCTATACTGCTCATTATTTGGCTGTATACTATTACACAGAGTTTTAGATTCTTTTCTTTCTTGGCCCATCAACCCAAGAGACAGACTTCCCTCATTCATTTATTCACAGAGAACAAGCTCCTTGCACCTACCAACAGCAAATTCTCCACCAAGGCATTTAAAAGATTGTAGCTAACATAGAATTTAAGAGTTCAACATATGTATTTGCAGAATATATTTACTGCATCTCACATCCCCCAAATTTTTAACCAATTTTGGCATCAAATCTAAGTCCAAAATCTCATCTAAGTATCTTCCAAATCAGGTATGGGTGAGATTCAGGGTATGACTCATGCTGGGGCAAAATTCCTCTCCAGCTGTGAATGTGTGAAACTAGTAAACTATCTCCTTCTAAAATAGTAATGCATTTGTTGGACAGGCATAGAATAGACATTACCATTTCAAAAAGGAAAGATTAAAAGAAAAAAAAGGTCACAGATCTCAAGTGATGTCTTTGTTTAAAATACAAGGAAATTTATGGAATAGTTAACATTTTAATTAAAATGTGTGTGTGCATATATATATGTAGGGGTTTTTTTGTCCTTAGTGTGTGGCATGCAGGATCTTAGTCCCCTGATCAGGGATCAAACCTGTGCCCCCATGCATTGGGAGTGCAGAATCTTAACCACTGGACCACCAGTGAAGCCCCTAGTGTTATATTTTAAGTTTTTATAAATTTAAGGAATCCTGCCAGAGAGAAACTTAGCTATCCAAAATGATCCATTTCCTGTACTGAGTAAAAGTGATGAGAAGTTCAGAAAACTTAGTGGGTTTTCTAGTCCTTTTTGCAAATTTTATCACTACAAAGTACTAACAAAGATGTGGTCTTGCTGACAAGAACAAGGATTTAAAGTTTAACCATGTGCTTTTTCCCATTTTTATCATCTGATCTCTTCTGTTCATATTTTGAAAAGAGTCCAAAAAGTACCTTTTACTTTTCAAAATTATGTTGAATAATATAATTCTCACAAAATAAAAATACTAGATTAGGTCTTTGTATTATCTTTTCCCCAGACGCTTGAACACATACACAGTCAGACAGAAGAGGAGACAGTCTGTCTTACAGAGGTTCTGGAGAAGCAGTTTGATCAGCTTTTCACTTCTCTTGATTCCAGGTAATAAGTTAAAAATATAGACTTAGTGCAACTGCAGCTTTTAACATCAACTTGTCATTTTATTTCTCTACATAGATTGAAAAATATTAGTAGATTTTAAACAAGTTTAGAAGGTAACGGGTCGTTCCCTTACAGGCTGATGTTTACAGCTTCGAAATGAAGAAAAATTATTATTTATTTATTTAGGCTATTTGCCCTCTGGTCCCAAAGCTGTTAAATAATGTCCTTCTTAAAGCAATTAGCACAGAAAAATACTGTCTATTTCTGAATCCTGTTGTAGAATTCAGCATACTGGGAAAATGCAAACATACATTTTCATGTACATAATGCCATCATTTTTTATGTGTTTATTTGCATCAACAGCAAATAATAATGATTTTTCTAAACACATACCATACTGTTTTATATCCATCCTTTTTAAGAATGTTGATATATATAATCTGAAGTAATCTTTAATCACATTTTACATTTTAAGAGACAGACTCATAAGAAAGTTGTGATAAATTGGTATGTAGAAATGGTGCTTGTCTATTTGACTATTGTTTCTTGTTATAATTTCTAATTGGAATGCGCAGAACATAGGTTCAGCACTCTGAATGAATCCGTTGATATTCTTTATTCCTTGATATTTATGATATCTCACATTTGGTATTTATAGTATCTAAGTGATAGGTCAGTTCAGTTCAGTTGCTCAGTCATGTCCAACTATTTGTGACCCCATGGACTGTAACACACCAGGCTTCCCTGTCCATCACCAACTCTTGGAGCTTGCTGAAGCTCATGTCAGTCGAGTCAGTGATGCCATCCAGCCATCTCATCCTCTGTTGTCATCTTCTCCCCCTCCCTCTCCTTCTCCTGCCTTCAGTCTTTCCTAGCATCATGGTCTTTTCCAGTGAGTCAGTTCTTTGCATCAGGTGGCGAAAGTATTGGAGTTTAAAGGTGAAAAGTCATGTGCATGCATTTTAAATGTTTTTAATAGTGGTAAATATACATCATAAAGTTTACCTTTTTAACCATTTAAGAGTGTACCGTTTAGTGGTGGGGGGAGGGAGGAATCAGAAGCTTGAGATGAACATAAACTATTATATATAAGATAAATAAGAAACTACTGTATAGCACAGAGAACTGTATTCAGTATTCTGTGATAACCTATATGAGATAAGAATCTAAAAAAAGATTATATGTATAACTGAATCACTTTGCTGTATACCTGAAACTAATATCAATATTAGTTAATAATTTTAAACTAATATTAATATAACATTGAAAATCAACTGTAGTCCAATAAAATTGAAATTAAAAAATGTATAGTTTAATGTCATACAATAATTTTATGTTTAACTTTTTAAGGACTACCAGATTGTGTTCTGTGATGGCCGCACATGTTTCTTTTCCACCAGTAGTGCTCAAAGGTTCCAGTTTCTCCACATCCTCACCAACATTTTATTTTCTTTTTTGAAAAGAATAGCCATTTTGAGGATATGAAGTGGTATCTCATTTAGGATTTGATTTACATTTCCATGATAGCTAGTATTGTGGAGCACATCTTTTCATGTGCTTATTAGTTGACCATTTGTGTATTTTCTCTGGAGAAATACGTATTCCAGTCCTTTGCCCATTTTTGGATTGTTTATTTTGTTATTGATGGGGTAGGAGTTCTTTATACATTATGACTATCAATCCTTTGTGAGATGTATCATTTTCAGATATTTTCTCTTCTTCCTGTGGCTTGCCTTTTGTTTGTGGTTTTAAATTTCTTTTATTGAAGTGCAGTATTAGTTTGAATTTGAATTACATTTGAATTACAGTATTAGTTTCAGGTATACAGCAGAGTGATTCAGTTATAAATATTCATCATCATCATAGGTTATTATAAGATATTGCATATAATTCCCTGTGCTGTACAGTATGTCCTTGTTTTTTATCTACTTTATATATAGTAGGGTGTATCTGTTAATCCAAAATGCTTAATATTTCCCTTCTACCCTTAAATGTCTGTGGGTCTGTTTCTGACTTGTAAGTAAGTTCATTTATATTCCACATAAAAGTGATATATGAAAAAAAGAGCGCTATATGATACTTGTCTTTCTTTGTCTGACTTTAGTAAGTATAATATTCTCTAGGTCCATCCACGTTGCTGCAAATGGCATTGATTCATACTTCCTTATGGCCGAGTCATATTCCCTCATGTACATATATCACATCTTTTTTATCCATTTAAGTTGTTTCCTTGTCTTGGCTAATGTAAATATTGCTACTTTGAGTACTTTGAACATTGAAGTGCATGTATTGAGTTTTAGAGTTTTCATCTTTTCTGGATATGTGCCCAGGAGTGGGATTTCTGGATCGTATGGTTACTATTTTTAGTTTTTTATAGAACCTCCATACTGTTCTCCATAGTGAATGCACCAAGTTTCCATTCCCACTGACAGAATAGAAAGGCTCCCTTTTCTCCACACACTGCCTAGCATTTATTTGTAGACTTTTTGATGGTGACCATTCTGATTTGTGGGAAGTGGGATACCTCATTGGAGTTTTGATTTCCATTTTTCTAATAATTTGTGATATTGGATATCTTTTCATGTGCCTGTTGACCATCTGTGTAATGGTCTTCTTTGGAGAAATGTCAGTTTAGGTCTTTTGCCCATTTTTTAATTTTTTGTTGAGCTGTACAAGCTGTTTGTATGTTTTAGAAATTAAGCCTTTGTTGGTCACATAGTTTGCAAATATTTTCTTCCAGTCTGTAGGTTGTCTGTTGTTGTTATTGAACTAAATTATTTAGCTGTGCCAGCTCTTAGTTGTGGCGTGTGGGATCTAGTTTCCCAACCAGAGATTGAACCCAGGTCTCCTGCACCTGGGAGTCTTAGCCATTGGACCACCAGGCAAATCCCTCCTTTGCACTCTCTTGATAGCATTCTTTGATCCAAAGATGTTTTTAATTTGTGAAGTCCAATTTATCTATTTTTTCTTTTGTTGCTTGTGTTTTGGTTTCATATCCAAGAAATTGTTGCCAAATCTTCAATTATGAAACTTTCTCCAACTGTGTTTTCTTCTAAGAGTTTTACAGTTTTAGATTTTATGTATAGATCTTTGAGGCATTTTAAGCTGATTTTTGTATATAGTGTAAAGGAAGGGTCCAACTTCATTCTTTACCATATGGATATCCAGTTTTCCCAGCACCATTTGTTGGAAAGATGGGTCTTTTCTCCATTGAATGGTCTTGAGACTTCTGTCAAAACTCAGTGACCATGTTTGTGAAGATTTATTGCTGGGCTCTCTATTCTCTTCCATTGGCCCATCTGTCCTTCTGGCAGTAGGACAGTGTTTTTTTACTGTGGCTTTGTAGCAAATTTTGAAATCAGGATGTGTAAGCTCTCCAACTTTGTTGTTTCTCAAGATTGTTTTGGAAGTTTGGGGTCCCTTGAGATCTCCTGTGACTCTTAGGATGGGTTTTTCTATTCTACATGAAGCATCATTGGAATTTTGATATGGATGGCTTTGAATTGTAAATTGCTTTGGGTATTGACATCTTAACAAATATTAAGTCTTCCAGTTCATGATTATAAGAGATCTTTCCATTTATTTTGGCTTCGTTAATTTCAGCAGTGTTATGTAGTTTACAGCAAGTGTACAAGTCTGTTGCAGCCTCAGTTATGTTTATTCCTGAGTACAGTCTTCTTTTTATTCTTTTGTAAAATGAATTGTTTTCTCAATTTCCTTTTTGGACTGTTAATTGTTAGTATGTAGAAATGTATCTGATTTTTTATGTGTTCATTTTGTATTCTGTATCTTTGCTGAATTTATTTATTAGCCCTACTACTATTTTTGTGACATCTTTACCTATAAGACTTCCCTGGTGGCTCAAATGTTGAAGTGTCTGCCTACAATGCGGAAGACCCGGGTTCAATCTCTGGGTTGGGAAGATCTCCTGGAGAAGGAAATGGCAACCCACTCTAGTATTCTTGCCTGGAAAATCCCGTGGATACAGGAGCCTGGTAGGCTATAGTCCATGGGGTCGCAAAGAGTCGGACACAACTGAGCAACTTCACTTTCTTCTCTCTCTTTCTTACTTATAAGATCATGTCATCTGCAAAAAGACATCACTTTCTTTTTGTCAATTTGGGTGGCTTTATGTCTTTTTTTTGACTAATTATTCTGGCTAGAACTTAAAATAGTATATTAAATAGCAGCGTTAAACTCACACATCCTTTTCTTACTACTGTCCTTAGAAGAAAAGCTGTCAGTCTTTCATCATCTAGCATAATGTTAGCTGTGGGTTTTTCTTATGTAAGTTTTATACATTGGTGTAGTTTTCCTCAATTCCTTGTTAGAGTGTTTTTATCCTGAAAAGATGTTGAGACTGTCGTATCCTTTTTCTCTGTAATTTGAGAGGATCTTGGGGGGGAGGTTTCTTCTTTCTGTTAATATGCTGTATAACATTAATTGATACTCATACTTCATTTCAGGAATAAATCCCACTTGGCATGATGTATTATTCTTTCACTGTCTTGCTGATTCAATTTGCTAGTATTTTGCTGGGGTCTAGTCCCGGCGGGATCCAGGGGGTACCCTCAGGATGAACGGCATCATCGAGAGAAGACACATGAGACCAGCCTTGATAGGGCCAAGTCTCAGGGTGAATGGCGTCGGCAAGAGAGAGAGAGAGAGACCCCAGACGGGGGTGTGCAGCAGAGTCTGGCCGTGCTTTATTTTTTACCATAGCTTTTATACCCTAAGTTAGTACATTTCTAAGGGGAAGATAGTTTAACATTACATCAGCTTGTCCTTCACGAAACCAGGGTGTTTTCTGCATACTTCTTTGTTTATGAGGGTCTTATACGTTATCTTCTGGCCTTGGGCCTATTAACATTTTATGCAAGTCAGGTGAATGTAAACCTATTTTCTGTTTCTGTGGTGATCTTAACAGAAAAGTTACAGTCTCATAGGGCAACAGTACAGCGTGTCACAACATGATAGTATAACCTTGTTAACATAAAAGT